CCCCACATTTTCCCTGCTGATTCTGTAGGAAGGTGTGTAAACGTGTCAAAACAGGCCATTTGTACTAGAAGCTGTAATTTCGTCCAGAATCATTATAGGCAAGCTAAGTTGCATGTAGCTCATGTTAAAATCTATCAAATACAAATAAAAGTATTGTTTGACAAGGAGAAAATTGGAAAACCCCCTTGTTTTGCATTAAAAAATGCATTTAAATGATCCTCTCTTGCTTCTACCATATTGGAGAGAGGAAATAGTATAGGGTAGATGTAAAAAACCAAACAAAAGCAAAAACCACTGTCCAGAGAGTCAAGAACCTGAGTCCAGTTCTGGCAAGGCCAACCCTGTGGTCTTGGCATGTTCTTTAACTTCTTAGATTCCTAATCTGTGAAAGGAGCTGGACAATATGATGTCTATAGTTAATTCTTGCTCCAAAATTCCAACATTTCTGTGGTGAAAATTTCAGGGCAGGGATGCTGTGACTTTGGCCTGGCCCTCTGCGGAATTCTTAGAAAGACAGTCCAGTCTTAACTCTTTTTAAGTCAAGTAACAATGAGCAGATCAACTGCGTGATTTTAAAGCTAATTTCTAAGAAATAAACAACTCTCTGGCAAACAGCTGCTGAAGACTTTTGACACCAAGCTAAAGTCAGAATGACTAGGTCATATTAGTGTATACAAGTATTACAGCATTAAAAACTGGCCCTGTAATATTTCCCTACTTATGTTAAGTTCAAATTCTTTAGTAAAGAGCTGGGCTTTTGATTCTCTAAAAATAAGGGGAGAAAATGTACCTCTATTTCAAGCAGTAATCTTTTTGAGTAGAAGATGGCCTCTTAAAAATTAAAGACAGGAAGTGTCAGTGAGTGGTACATATAGGTTTTTTAAAAAAATTATTACCAATAAAATGTATTGCCCGTTTTGTATTAACTTGCAAAATATTTCCTGTTTAAAAAAGAAATCCGTAGCCCAGAGATGGAAACCACTTAAATATCCATCAGTGGGTACATGGATAAAGAAAATGTGGTCCATATATACAGTAGAATACTGTCCAGTTTCTAAAAAGAAGGAGATCCTGCCATTTGCAACAACATGGATGAACCTTGAGGACATTAGGTTAAGTGAGATTAAGCCAGACACAGAAAGAGAAACACTGCCTGCTCTCGCTTATGTGTGGAATCTGAGAAGGGCGAGCTCATAGAAGCAGACTAGAAGGGTGGTTACCAGGGGACGGGAGTTGGAAGAAGTGGGGACTGTTGGTCCACGTGTACAAACTTTCAGTTTCAAGACGACTAAGTTCTGGAGACCTAGTAGACAGCAGGGTGCCTCTGGCTAATGATGCATGTGACACCGTGCGCCCCTCGTAGGGACTCGAACCCACGGGCTTTTAATTAGAATCACTCTCCTGGTGTCAGGACTTCCTGAGCCTCGGGTTCTTTGTGTCTCAGTGCAGGAGGAATTCAGCGAGAGGCAAAGAGATAGGCAAGAGGTTGATTTATTAATCTAGGACGCTTGTGAGGGGTACAAGCGGGCAGGCGAGGGGGCTCTGCCCTGAGAATCAAGCCGGCTACATTCTTACCACCAAAGGGAAGTGGGGAGGGCAAAAGACCGTCTTCTTTCTTGTTCCTGGAGTAGCCATCACTAGATCCTCCTTCGTATTGGGCAGGAGACAGGTTGACCCTATGAGGTCAGACTAGGACAGACATAGTGCTCGTTCAAACCAGCAGAAGGGTGGTGACATAGACTAAAACATGTCAAGTCATCTCAGGTTTCGTATAATGAGGGTCTCCCACTTCGGAATGTCACCTTTCCCTTATATTCCTATGCTTGGTCCTAAGGATCATTACCTTGCTGGACTTGACCAGCAGGACGCAGGCCTCATTTTTTCGCTCAGTGGCCTGGGGCATATCTCGTGCTTTTATGAATTTATAGTTAAGCAAGCCTGCTTCCTTCCACAATGTTCGGATAGCTTTCTTGAGTGGTCATGGACTCACAGGGGTCTCCCAAAGTTCCCTCTCTGTAATCCCCTGGTGGGATTTCTAAAACTCCCTGTGTAACTCTCCTATTTGATTCCTATCATTTGTACACGAGAAATTTGCTAAGAGGGTAGATCTGAAGTGTTCTCACCACACACACACACACACACACACACACACACACGGTGACTATGTATTATGTTAATTAGCTTGATCGTGGTGCTCATTTCACAATGTATACAAATATCAAAACATCACAAGGTACACCTTAAACATATGCAGTTTTTATGTCATTGATACCTCAGTAAAGCTGAGAAAA